TCCTCAACTCGGAGAGTCCAGGTTTCACAAGCATAGAGCAAAACTGCTCTCACCGACGCGTTGTAGATCTGACCTTTTACAGCCAGACTAACATCACGAAGGCGCCAAAGATGGCCCAGATTGGCATAAGCCGCTCTGGCTTTCACTATACGTGCATTGATCTCATCACCCCCGAATGCCCTGGTACGGCCGAGAGTGGGGTGAGTCCGCTCTCCCTCTCGAAATACTCTCACACGGCCGCGCGTATACAGCCTCTGCCAGGGAAGTCCTACTCATTGCCTTCTCGTGGCACTACTGTTGTTTACGAAAATGAGAGGACGAAAAGCGAATGTCCGGCGCTTTAACCGGATCACAAACCAATGGTGCACATGGGCTCCAGTATCCTGCGGGAACAAATGGCGTATGAACCAATCTTTGGTCACCAGCTACCATGGGACTGCATCTCCTTACGATGCTCCACTGCCTTGTGGGTTAGACCATTAGGTCAAAGGCTCGGGGAGTGGCCCCCTGAGATAACCACCTGCTTCGGTTTGGGCACCCGGGCAGTATCACAGCCCACACACAAACGATGAACTCTATGTCCTTGGCAACTACTTTTTTTATCGTATTAAGTAATCTAGCAATATAGTCTTTCTATTACATCATCTTGGTTATTCTTTATTTACATTTCCCCATGGAATTAGTACTTTACCAAAATATATTTTCATATATACATATACATACTCCTAGCCAGTGCGCACCCAGGATCTCACCCCTCGAGATTCGATCACAGAACATATCAGACTCACTTGCAAACGCTCAACCTTTAGCATATTCCCTAAGTATTACAAAGTATCCCGATTGTTTACTCGATTTCAATCGGAACCAGATTTGATATCTTAGTTATAGATTATAAGTTAAATGTATGCAGTTCACTTTCTGACTTTATCTAACAATAATGAATAGAAAGTATAACTGGAATAAAGAACATCATTAGTATTGAATATTATGTTGTTATACAAACACAGAACAATCAAAATACTTGATCATCAACTATGGAATAAGAACAAATCACAATTGATTGGTCACTGGGTGGTGATCAATGTCATGCGTGTCAAGTCCTTATTATTGGTGCAGATCGAGTGCTATCGACCATGTTGCAATGTGGCCACCAGTTCCCTCAAGTTTACAGGTACACCTTGCTGACGAGTGCCAAGTAGCCCGAAACCCGGGTCCAGGGTTTACTGTCGACTACCTCCAACCACCATCTAATAAGAACAAGTTGATGAAAGTAAGAACAAAAAGTGAAAACATAACAAGTTGAAATAAAACATGATAATAATCGATCAATATATACTATGTGTGAACGAGTTAATCAAGATCAGAAATGAACTTTTAACTTCTTAGTTTTTCTTTTTCTTAAAGAGAAATCTCAATACTCTTGATTAGAGTCATTAGAAATACATTTTTATGCTACTTAGAACATTCAAAGTAATCAGTAAAAGTTGGTTTGTGTTATCATAGATTGAAAGTGTTTTTGTTATCATTTTCATAACAAAAAACTGTCCATTTACACAGACTGTTTTCTAGCTGGTTAAGTACTGATGATAAATTTATTGAGCACATATTTACAGCACATCTCTGTCCACTCCAGGACTCGAGCCCATTATCGTTGTCTTCAAACACTACCTGGCTAATGAGTCCAGATATCCACTCGCTTGTGCAGTGAGGTGAAGTTAAAAATTCACTTGGTATTGTTTACTTGAATCTTCTCGTTGATGTTTAGGACTGCAATTGGTCAGCGTCTTATTAGCATGTGTGAATACTGTGCGTATTGCGTCGATGGCGTTCGAGTCACAGAGTGAACATCAATTCAGAAATACAGATACATTCAGCTGACGAGTCTCAAGTAGGACGAATCGAACGTCAAACTGGATTCCAATGATAACCATTATCCATCTTTGCTAACAATAGAAATACTTTTTATACTTGTTGGACAGAATAAGGACTGATTTCACAATTCTTCGATCGCCT